TCACAAGTTAAAAAGAAAAGTCCAGGAAAGTTGGGCCGAGAGTCTGAAAATCCTTTTAAATTATAAAAAGTTACAGATTTCTAACTTGACAACCATTGAACTTATTTGATAGGGAAAAAAATATCTAAGAACAAAACATGTTCAAGTTATTTTTTACATAGTGCATTAATGCTTTTTCAAGTCTAACCTAGTTTTAGGGTTTATCCAGAATTTGAAAAAAATTAGGTCACTCTACAATGGCAAATCTCATCAAACAAAACACTTGCTTTAGAAAACTTACCCCAAAATGTTCTTGTCTGTATGTGTCTTAACAATCTAAAACGTAGCAAGAAGCAGAAGCCTAAAAACCCAAATCTGGGTGTGGGGAAATCAAGAGGTTTCTTTCAACTGACTTTGTTCTCTTGCAGTTGAAAACCTTGCTTCACCAAAAGGTATTTCCAAAATTGAAAATTTGGTTTCATTTATCATGGTTGAAATGCACATATGCTTCAGGCAGCAGTGATGCCCAAAATTTTCTACAGAAGTTTCCACCCATGCCTTCTAGGGGCGGGAGAGGGCTGAGAGGAAAAGAGAAAGGCTAGGACACTGAACTTTGCTCTTCCCTAGGTCTTGCCAGTGTTACACCTGGCACTGCAAAACTCAGCGTTTGGAGAGCATTGGCTGTGTATGTCATGTTCTTTCAAAAACTATGCTCTATCTGTTCCTGATCAAGAGTGGAAAGATAAGTTCTTGGAGTTCCAGGAGCAGGCTCTCCTCCATATGGACGAGCCACTCTCCCTCTGAGGGCTGCTCACACAAGTTCACAGCACGTTGCTGGGCGCACAATGCCCCTCACAATCACGGGCATCCCGATGCTTCTGATGAAGAAAACGACCACAATTTTAAGAAAAATGGACAACCAACTTCCCCTTTTTGTGATGCTTCTTCCAAAAGTTCTGGTTCTCTGCAATTCTTGTGGATATGCCAGAGACTCTGCCTGTAAATTTTTGTAACTGTGGTAAAACATATGTAACTTGAAATTTACCATTTTAACCATTTTTAAGAGTGCAATTCAGAGGCTTTAAGTACATTTATGTTCTTGGGCAACCATGCATTTCCAGAACTTTTTCATTTCCCCAAGTTGAAACTCCATGCCTATTAAGCAATAACTCCCCATTTTTCTCTCTCCCCAGCCCCTGGCAACCACCATTCTACTTTCTGCCTCTATGAATTTGACCATTCTAGGTACCTCATATAAGTTGGGAATTTATTGTAATCCATCCACAAGGCTGATTTCCAGAACTTAAGTCCCAGTAGCCAGAGCTACTGTCATTTTCAATGTCTATCTGCTCTATACACACACACACAAAATTTATCACTGTAGTGGCTGAGAGCTGGAGACCCTTTTCCTATGCAAAACAGAAGACAAAGTCGTCTTCCTCTGACTGATCAAGGCACAACGATTCTTCACAGAGGGAGACGGGAAACTTGGCATCAGAAGGTCCTGTAGAGAGCTGGAGCGCTTAGGGGATACTGCAAAGGTGAGTGTAAATTCACAGTTTCTTCTTAAGATTTTGGCCTGAACAAAGGAATATCCAGTTCATGGTTCCAAACCACTAAAGCATCCAGATGCCTCAGGGTGTCTATAAAAAGGAGGACGAAGGTAGGTGCTGGTGAATCCTACAAGAGGAAGTGCCACGCCCTGTGTGGTATCCTACTGTGAGGAGACAAGTTTAGGTGGATGGGAGATGATGACCTGATAAGATCTCTCTAATTTTCTCATGGGAGCGGTCCCACAAAATCTTCTTTGGATTATAAATATAGGAAGGCCCTAAAATAAGCCCTGGGTACTATCCAAGCACAAACCATGGAGTACAACAGGGCAGTAGATGAACACCAACATTAACAGCAACTACCATTTGCTGAGTACTCACGCTGTGCCTGAAGAACTTACTAGGTGCTTTATCTAAATTGCCTCCTTTGACCTTCACAACAACTCTATGAGATATGGAAACTGTCCCTCTACACTGAAAAGAAAAATTAATTCTGAAAAAATGTGACACACTCAAGGTCATACAGTTTATGAAATAGATTTACTGCAAGCTCTGTGTTACCCCAAAGCCCATGATTTTCGTACCCTTATGACAAAGAAAGAAAATTGTTCATTAGAAATCTCTAGGCTGAACATTTTTAATGCTTAAAAACAGCCCCAATTAAGCTTCAGCGGGTTCAGTGTGGAAGAACCAGACTCAGGATCCCTCCAGTCCCCAGAGGTCTGACATGTGATCCTAGGCCAGTCACTCAGCTTCTCTGGCCCTGAGTTTCCCAGGGAACTTGTGAAACAAGGCTACTTCCCCCTCTTCTGCCCCCACCTCAAAGCATTCCATGGGGTCAATTACCTGTGCTGAGATAATAAGGCTGATATCCAAGGATGAAACTATTGGCCAAAGGTTTCAATCACCTCTCTCATGAGCTTCCTTTTTAGTTATCAGAGCTTCCCACAAAAGTTATCAGCTAATCAGCAAATAATTATCTAACACCTACTATGTGTGCAGCCACACAGTAGTTAATGTGGAGTATTCAGAGATATAGGCAGCATCCTTGCCCTTGAGGACCTATCTCCCAGTCTGGGGACTTATATGAAACAAAAGCACAGAAACATCTTGTGGGTGGGCCTATTATTCAGTACCCAACTATGGAATTGGAATTAGGAAGAACATCTGCCAGAACCAGAAAAGCTTAGGTTTCCAAGACAAAGTGGAATTTTAAAACAGCCTTGATAGATGAATAACTTTTGGAAAAGTAGAAGCAAAAGGCATTCCAGGCAAAAACAAACTCTGGAAGCTAAGGATCTGAGACTGGATGGAGTACTGTACAGGATGGGTGATCACAAAAGAGACCCACAGATCTCTTGGTAGCAGTATGGGTGAGCACTGGGAATGGAGACTGGAGCCAGATTTCAAAAGACTTGAATGCCTGGCAGGGTAAGCTGGTCTTGGAGTGGGAACAAAAGGTAGTGAGCTTGGTGACCTGGTGAACACTGGAAGCTGCAAGGTTTAGATTTCTCTGCCTTTGATAGGAAAAACTAAAAGAACATGTGTGAAAACTAGGTGTTGTAATGCCAAAGACATCAGCCATCCCAGTTGAGAGGCACCAGAGTGCTGAAGAACAAGAGAGCTCCTGGGGGCAAGGACTCATTACATTTCTGAACACAAAAATGAGAACACAATAAGTACCCCAAAATGCTTGGGAAGCAGTACTTTGATCTGTTGCTGCTAGTTTGAAATGGACCTTTCAGCCCCAATATGTAAGCAAATCAAGAATCTCTAAACCTCCATTCACATCACTGCTGCCCTCTGTTGGCTACCAGACCAATAAGAGAAGGTGGGGACACTGTGCACCTCTGTCCCAAGGAAGCAGGCTTTCAGATGCTCTGTCAGCCAGTGGCCACACAGAGTCCAACACTAAGCTCCTGTTGCAAAGGGCACTCAAGGAGAGGCTGTACCAGCACCACACTCAGTCTAAAATGTCCCAATGTCTTCCTGGGAGTCACATCAAGAAACACAATCCCTGGGGGCCTCTTCAGACAAGAGGACACCAAACAATCATGCAAGTTCTAATGGGGTCTAGAGATGTTTAATGACATCATTCTGCCCCATGAGATGGGGCAAGATTTGGGACAATCCATGCAAAAGAAAGTGTACTGAGGTGCTCTCCAGTGTTGACTTAGTGGAACCTGTTATCATTTAACCAGCTGGTTACCATCTGAATCAAACTGGCAACTCGGAGCAGCAGCCCTCCCTCTTTGGCTGTCCACTGCCACGGCCTGACCACTCTTGCAGTCTTCTCACCTCAAGGAAAATGGCAAGCCTTGTTCTCTACCAGCTGCAGACCCACAGAATGAAGAGGGGACGTTTTAGCACACAGAAGAATGACCCGCCCCTGCACCACACTGAGCACCTTCACGATGAAAGAATCAGATCCTCAGATAACAGCTTAAAATTTATTAAAATGCATGTGCCTGCCAGGAAACAATCCCTCACTAGTTAGATCCAGCTCAACAGAAATACTTAAATTCCCATCTGTTAACTTCTATTTCATAAAGAAACCCCTGATGGAAGGAGCAAGAGTTTCTCTAAAGAATATAACTTCCAGTATAATTTGTAAACTTTTCAATGCAAATGGAAGTCAGTTCAGAGCAAGTGTCACCTGAATGGATTTCTCTCCTTCTCACTTGAACTTGTGTGTGTATACAGGTACACACACACACACACACACACACACACACTGTTAGGAAAGACATCAGCTTGGCATGCATGTTGACGACTTGAGCACTTCAGAGTGAAAATGCAAGCACTCTATGTCAGGCCCGACCTGCTATGATATCAAAAAAACCCCACCAAAGAAAAACCACCCCAGGGAAAGCAGCCAGGAAAGGGAAACGCCTCCTTGAAACAGCCTGATTCAGCCCATGCTGAAACTATTCCCGAACACCAGCCAGGAAGTCCCTTCTTTCAGGGTGCTCCGCTGCCCAGCAAACCCAGACCTGCCTCTCTGGAAGCCAGATCTCTGGGGAAAGGGGCTTTCCTGCTCTGACTCTGCTGCCCGCTGGGATCCATCAGTGACCAGGTCTTCCAACCCTGTCTAACTAATGCCAACGCAAAGCTGGTGGCTGAAC